TTTTAGCCTAACAGAACAGAACTGTGCCAGAGTTTGTTTTCAAGTGTTCTTTCTAAGCTAATTTTAAACCACTATAGTGTGGTGGTGCATTTGTTGGATATTCCTTTTTAAAAGGAAGAACAGTTTAAGTAAAATCTAAGAAGCAGTATTTTGATGGGTTTCAAAATTCACCCCTAAAAAATCCTGTTTCAGATGAATACTGATTTAGATTTTGTTGGGTTAGAAACTGGACATAGATTGGGTTCATTGATTCCCTGAAAATAACAACTGTGTATCATAATAAGCTGCAGATACAGCATCAAGGTAAGGAAGAGTCCACTAAAAGCAAATCCAAGGAATTGTTAATATTTGCATATCAATTCTGCAGCTTAGTCACAACAACCTGCACCGAATAAGTACACAGGAATGCTCCAGAAGGCCAACAAAGGCAGCCATTCCAAACTTCTGCCATTTTCATAGTCCATATCTACATAGTCCACGTCTACAATCAAAACCTTCACTAGGATAGTGCCCTCCCTCTCCAAATGCTGTCTTAATGTGACATTCCTCTAAACACCTCCTGCAAAGAGATATTCTCGATTCTAGCGCAAATAGCATGCATAGGTGAACACTGTACATGCCTTGAAATGAATGCAGGTGGGGTGGAGAAAAGGCTATGACAAGAAAAACAAGCCATATCAAATTATCTTATTCCTTCTCTACCTTCTACACCAATATGCTCTGCTCACCTTTTGTGAAGCACATTCATCTTTGGTAAATTAGAGATTGGCTTTCATCATTTGTGTTATGGTATTACACAAATGACAGCTTAGAAGACATGCATCATCCAAGACATGAAGACAAACACCACAGTCAAGTTTTTTTAACCAGCCCCACATATCAAGAACTGCCTTCTAACAAAAACAAATGAACTAATCCGCTAGAGAGCACATCAAGCCAATTCTGTATAATTTACATTGGTTACCAGTTGCTGCCCGGGCCCAATTCAAAGTGCTTGTTCTGACGTATAAAGCCCTAAATGGCTTGGGCCCTGGATACTTGAAGGACCGCCTCCTTCCATATGAGCCTACCTGGCAGTTAAGAACTAGCCAGGGAGCCCTTTTGAAAGAGCCATCCCTCAAGGAGGTAAGAGGGATGGCTTGTAGACAAAGGGCCTTCTCGGCTGCTGCCCCCAGACTATGGAATGCCCTCCTGACTGAAATTCGTCTGGCGCTGACGTTGATGACATTTCAGCGCCAGGTCAAAACCTTCCTGTTCCAGAAGGTTTTTAATTGAAATAACATCAACTGTGGGTCCTGATGGCAATTTTAATTGTATTTTAATTTTATTTTAATCATTTTATCTCTTATTGTATTGAATTTTAATTGTTGTAAGCCGCCCAGAGACCTCTGGGTAGAGTGGGCGGCATATAATAAGTAAGTAAGTAAGTAAGTAAGTAAGTAAGTAAGTAAGTAAGTAAGTAAGTAAGTAAGTAAGTAAGTAAGTAAGTAATCCCAATGTCTTCATTCTACCTATGCCAAGAGGTGGGGGAGCGTACTGTTTCAGCCACAGAGTTTTGTTAAAAGATGGATAGGTGGGCAGAGAGTATAAGTAAACATAACTGTGTTGAAGATGGCAGCAAAAAGCTGTCCATTTTTATAGTGGATGTTTATTCTACTCTGTAGTCTTTCCTCATTTAAATGGAACCCACATACACAGTGAATTATGACTTTCTCTCTCTCTTTTCGCTATATGTCAGAAGAAGCCAAAATAGTTTCAAGTATATCTCACACTTCATAACAACCCTGTATTCTGGTACAACAGCAAACATATTTCATTTGACAGACATGCACAAATGTACACCAACAAAAACAGGACCAAGTCCTTCTTGCCTAAGCAACAGACACTCTATATGATAATATCTAAAATTTTAAAAAAATGTTCCTAAGTATCTTATATCCATACATGACAGCTTTGTTTTCTTCATGGAAGAAAGGCACAAGATGTGCTTATATGCCTGCCTTACAGCATTCTTTCAAATGCCTTCACTAGGGAAAAAGAACCTTTCCTCACCTACAAAGAGGCTGTGAAGGTAGTACATAAAAACAGTTAAATGCTTTCTGGGTTACTACTCTGTATTGTTTCAAAGTAATAAAGCTACGTATCGACACTTTCGACTTCTTCAATGGGTCCTGAAGGATTATGGCCTGGACTCCAATTATTGGCACCTGGACTCAATAAAAGCAGAAGGGCTCCTTAAGCCGTTACTTCTGGAAACAGCAAGTCCCACTGACCCAACATTTGTGAAATTCAGAATACGTTTTACAACAGTATTCCATATGACGCAAGAAACAAAACAACAACCAAGAAGTTCTTGAACACACCTGGCCTCGCCTTGTGGTCACAGAGAAAACTACAGTTCAAACAAAGGAAGTAGGGAAGGGGTAGCCCCAATTGCCTAGCAAAGAAAGTTCACAAAAGGGACACCAAAGAGACAACCAGTGGGAAACACGGGTTATGCCCAATGAATTCCCTCAGCTGACAAATGGCTCCTTGACTAAGGGGAAGTTGTAGTCTGAAGAATGGCAAGGGAGGGAATTTTTACCAGTTCTCTTCCCCCTATGCAGTTCTTGTTCACCTCAAAATCTGTTCCAAAAGCCTGGAAGACCCTTCAGAACAGTGTAGGAAATGGTGTGGGAATGCTGTATTAAAGAGACTAACATCAGCAGGAATGGCACTCGTTATAATCCTGTATTTAATTTTCTCAGAGTACTGCATTTTTCATAGTTTTTAAATAAGGTCAAATAACTGAATAGAAACAGCCTCACAGCACAGTGGTTGAACTGCAGTACTGCAGCCAAAACTCTGCTCACAACCTCTGTTGAATCCCAGGTAGCTGGCTTGAGATGCCTTCCAGCTTTCTGAGGTTGGTAAATTGAGTAACCAGCCTGGTGGTGGTGGTGGGGATGTGTAGTCTACATAATTAAAATTGTAAACTGACTAGAGAGTGTTTTTAGTGCTATGGCGCAATATGTAAGCAGGATATTTTGCTTTTTTTAATTTTCACACAAGATACATTTTAAATTCACGGGATATACATTTTGGTGTAAAACTTAAACACTTAACCTGTCCTACTCTGGTTCAGAGTCTGGGTCATTCTCTTAAGCAAAATAACTTCATGACTTGCACTTGCATGCAGTGATAAACCAGAATTATGGATAATTCAAGAGTACCATTCATGAGTGGCGTGCTGATTGCTTGACTTCTGCAACTCGCAGAAGAGGATCAATTAGTCAGGAACTGAAAGCTCAGCATACCACTGGAAGCAAGGCTACAGGCCTACCTCTTTCAAGCAACCCAGGAAATGTAAATCAAGATCAAAATGTAGTTTGTGATTCTGGCTTGTCAGAGGCAAGTTTGGCCAGAAGCCCTTGTTTGGAAAACACGCTAAACATACAGGTGCCAATTAGTTAGCTATTCCTGTGGACAGAGGAGCCAAGAGGGAGTGAATGTGATGTATGCATGACCTGTAACTTGTTAAGGGCAAGCCTAGAAGTGCTGGCCTATTGTTGTGTGAAAATGGGGCTGATGTGACCTTTTATTTTATTTTATTTCGTTTCATTTTACCCTGTCATGTTTCTTGGTGGTTTTTTTTTTAAAAAACTATCTTTACCCCACAAAAAGTTAATCAAACAACTTTTGGTACATAAGCTGCAACAAAAGCACAATTTCCAATCCAGCAGGTATTATACCTCTGGCGAAATGGCTTGACATATTCGTGGGGATGGGATATTGGGGCTGTGAAAAGATGCCACTTGTATGGTGGTAGGTACTGTTTGTTCACAAGTGTATCTATCATCTATCTATCTATCTATCTATCTATCTATCTATCTATCTATCTATCTATCTATCTATCTATCTATCTATACATACATACATACATACATACATACATACATACATACCCCGCCTATCTGGTCAATTCTGACCACTCTAGGCGGTTTACACCACAAAAAACAAAATACAGGAACAATATATAAATAAAAAGGAATTTGTACACAATTAAAAATTCTATAAGGTGGAAAAGGAAAAAAATCTAAAGAAGGCAAGGGAGAAGGTTAGGAACCCGTGTAACAGAACACGTGTAACGGCAAGACCTTTACCTCACATTCACAGGAATGCAACATCACCTCTACTCAGCATTATCTGGCTAATAGATTAAGAATCCGCACAACTGCACATGACTTAGAACACCTTATATGACCAACCAAATGTATTACTGAAATCAAAGTTTAGACATACGAAATTATACATAGATGCTGACAATTACTTATTTAATATAACTAATATATAACTAATATTTCAAGAGTAACAGAATAATTGGTTCAAAATTACTTTACTAGTATACTAAATAACCTTCTGAGGTATTCTCAAAAGTTACTTTTACAGGACACCTTAAGGTAATTTTGGAGGCTTAAGAGGGGAGGTTGCAGACAGAAATGGGGTTGCCAATTCTGGTAGAAGTTATGAGGTCCAACAGAAGTACAACCCCGAATTTTTGGCCTCTGTGCTAATATGAATGCAACAACAGAAAATGTAAGCTTTTAGTTTATAAACATCAAGTGTATATTCATAGGTCCACAAATTTATACATCATGCACATAAGTATAGAACACACCTGCTGTGCCAGTTTTTCTCTTACCTAAGGTTACTATCACATGTAAGTACCAACAAAGTCGGAACCCTCCCAAAACAACACTAGTTGTAGAACTAGCAGATTCAAACCTGAAAACCCCTTTGTTCTGAATTTCCCTGATAAATATCATGAGGATCTGGAGCACATCATAGGAAACCATTGTTGTTCTATTTTTCTGCTTGCCTCATATATATGACCTGTTTGCTTTGTTGAGATCTTAGCAAAGCAGGATCTTAACAAGCAAATAGGATTGCCATTTTACTATTCACACCAAAATATAAAGAACACATAGCTCTGAATGGCATTTAGTTTTAATAGCACTTACCTCTCCCTTTTAGGAGTGTGGACTGACAGTTGTCCATTTGTTGAGGCATGTGGGTTTATTATTAAGGAGGTCTTTGAAGAGGCTGAGGAAGAGAGACATGACGTTGACAGGTCCAAGCTATTGTGGTTGCTGTTTGCAGCTTCCTCTGCAGTGTGAGAACTCGCTACTTCTTTCCAGAGTTGCTGGAGTTCACTTGGAATCATGCCTGAAAAAAATTGAATAATTAAAATCATTTAACAGCTAATTTAGCCACCTTCAAACAGTAATTAAAATCAAAGTCAGTAGACACAGCCTAAAGTGGAAAGTATATTTCAAATTTTTAAGGAGCACATGCTTAAGTTTTTAAGGACCACATGTCCACATGTATATCTGCCAGTGTAATGCAGTGGTGTTAATAATGGCTGTCATTCAACCATGTAGAGTCTAGACAGACTGCCTGTCTATGCAGTTACCCATCTGCCATTGAGGAGTCAGAACGTTTGAGGGTGGGGTGGACAACCTTGAAATCCCAATGTACTTATGTGGTTACTCTGTGTCTCGAAAACCAAATGTTTTCCTAGTCATCATTTTTTGTGGAAACGTATTTGAAGACGTGAAAATAAAATTATTAACAGGTCAGATACAGGGAAGGAAAATAACTACATTGCTCTTTGTCATTATGCATCCCATTCAATTTGGTTAACTTTCACATGTAAGGCTAACAATTTCCAACACTGTAGAGAGTATCTTGTAGCGCCTGAAAGATTAAAGTTTTATGTAGCATAAAATTTTGTGGTCTATAGCCCACTTCTTCAGATGCTTGCAATGTAGCCTCAGGAGGCACATATTTATACCTGAACAAACCAACATCTATGCCAAATAAAACTTAAGCTGCTACAAGATTTCTGCTGCTTTTCCTTCAACGAATTACACATTGACACGGCCATCCCTCTTATCATAAAATAAGTCCTACAAAACAACTAGTTAGTGCCAGTTAATGCTCTGGACACTCCAGAGTAGTGTTATTCCATGGCATTATGGAAAACTAGGTTGGAAGCCTACAGACCAGCTACCCAGTATGGAAGGCCTAGGGCAGGTATAAGTGAAGCACTGAAACACTGCCACACTGAAATACATCCTATATCACCTGGTGCTGTTGTTGGACCTGTCAGCAATTTCTTCTTGGCCACTTTCACATTCATGCAAATAATAATCACCGTGTTCATTAATATCACCAGAATATACTTAGCAGATATTGATATTTGATTCATCTATCCTATGAGAGCATTAGCCTCAATATTTTGTTAAGTGCGAATGTTGTAGGAAAATAAAATCCATTCTTTAGAGAGCACAAGGGAAAAGCCAGCAGATTTCTCATAAGTCTGAATGGGTTGGAAAGCGCACCATCTTAGGATACTATTATTGCACTAGGCATAAACTTAGCAGATCCCTGAAAGTGCAACGCAACAGGCAGAAACTATGTATTCCACACACTTTATTCATATTTGTCCTATTTACCTGGTTCTCTCCAACATGTTTCAATGGGAGAATTTAGCAACTCTTCTCTTAGCTGTAATTTTCTCCACATATAAAGCAATCTGTCTGTGGAAGAGAAGTACCTGTACATGGCCCTCCAAGTGAATGGGAAGTTCTACTCTAAAGACACATTGCTCTGCACAAGAAGAAAGTAACAACAGAGAGGGGAAAGGCTAAGCACTCCTCTGGAAGCCTGCTGGTGAGAACTGGGCACATGGACTCTCAATAGGGCTACTCTCAGGTTCATTCTAGCAAAATGTCACAAATATTTTTAGCTAACATGAGGAAAAGTTGCAACTCGAGTAAATGAGATTGAGCAAGTAGGATTGTTGGTCATCTCTAGCATAGGACAACTTTATTTCTTGCTCAGTCTTCTCTTGTAGAAAAAAATATGTTGAGGAATGAATATTGATAGGACTACACTCTTTGGAAAGTAAACTTGTAACCTAGAAACCTGTGTTAGATTTTTCTAACACAATTTATATTGCAAAACAATTATGAGAAGCATTCTTAAGACGGATAGCATAAATAAATGGTGTTTCTGAAAAAGGATGGATAAATGTTAACCTCTCTCTTTCGAGGAAAGAAAAATCTTCAAAATAAATTTGTTCACCTCTGTTATTATGACAACATGAACCACAATGTGACTAATTTTGTGCTTAAACTGTAAATGATGACAAATAGTATTGTTATTAAATACAGTTTTTATTAATCATTTTTAGACATAAATTATGAATTCACATTGTCTTCATGAAATGCTTTCTGAATTTTAACAGTCAAATTGATTATACTATGATTATTTCATTAACACACCTATCTTTCTCATTAATTTTGGTTTCTAGCACTGCTCACTTAATTGATGGATGTGTCTAATGGGGGAAAAAACCCCTGCAAGTTTCTATACAAGTAACACTATTATTATTACCGTCATTTCTTGATCAGTGCTAATGAGCCATTGGAAGTGTAATGAAAACATTAAAAAAACCTTTATATTTTTTAAAAGAATGTTTCTTATCAAAACAAAAATAGTAGACAAATTTTAGGAGCATCATCTATGGTCAATCAAAGCAAGACGTAAAAATATCAACAGGCTAAATAAAAGTTTTGCTAGAATACACAGCTCACAGTGACACATGGCATCAACTTAATCTTTTTGCGAAACTACGTAGTTAATTTGGTAGCATACAAAAGTTATGGGAACAAAACACGAGAACCTCATACAACTATAGGTTGGCACATGGGTGTGGTGTTAGCAAGCATTTAAGTAAGTATGGATGCCACCAAGAATCAAAAGTATTTTCAAAAAAATTAATTTCCTTTGAAGAACTGAAAGTCTGGGAGCCAACAAACTCTGTGGTTTATGTCATGCTACTTATCCTTGCTAAGAATTGAGAAAGAAATATTTTCAAAATATACATCCATGTCCAAAAGAGACTTGTCTCTTTCCAACCTAAGGCATTAAAATAAAGGCAGTATGCATTATATTCATTTGAAACACATAATAAAAAATGCCAAGGTCTAAATTTAATTTATTTTTGTCATTTAGAATACAATGGCTAGATAATCATCTCAACGTGATCAGCCAAACATCTTTACTTTGCTAAACTGTTAAAGATTTTAATTATGCTAGCTTTGGAGAGCACTGGTCTAATGAGGCGATAGACTCCAGAGAATCTAAGTGGTTAAGAACTGTGAAATGAGTCTGATAGGATTTTTTTTATATTCACCGTGGATCGTTTGCATATCAAAGAGGAGTAAATTATTGCACGACAGACCAATAACCTTCCCCGCCTTTCTGAGAGTAGCATTAACAAAAACATTTGGTCTTTGCTTGTGAGTTGCTTCAAAAATAAAAAATAAAACTTTAAGTGTCTGCAATTAGTACATCTTCTAAACAATGCTTCAATTTATACTTTAAGTGATTGGATAGTCTTAAGTTATAAGTGCTATAAAGCCATTTCCTCCTCCTTTCAGAAAAATCAGATGTCAATTATATTTTGATGGATTTTGTCGCACACGAACATTTAGTTATTAGACATATTCAATTATTACTTGTCCCTGAAATTAAACCTCTGAGGCAATTTAAGCAAAGAGAAAGGTCACGACGCAACCTGGTGTCCTGTTTAGTAGCAATGGAGCTATTATTTTCAAACACCTTGCAAAGTGACACTGTAGGATGTATTTTGAAGTCATACCCTTGACAGGACGATCTGCACACTAACCATAACCTGTGAAACAGACTGACCCTCCTGCCACTGTTTATTCAGTCGAAACAACCGTGAACAGACTTGGGACTTGAAAGGAACATATTGACACCAGAACACAGGAGTCAATGTGATTTTTTAATTGTAGTTCATATCAGTGTGAGAAATATGTTTTGTGGCTATTGTTGCTATTAGTATCATCAGCATCATTTGTTGTTCTTCAAAAACATACGCCTAAGATTTTTAATATTATGTTGCTGTCTTATTTTTTTCAACAATAAAAAAATCTTAGGTACCTTAGTATAAAAAAGGCAAAAAAAGGGATGAATTATTCATTTCAGCATACACACTAGTGTTTATTCTCAGCAACTGTAGAAGGGTAATTGACTAAAATTAATTACTGTTATTTCTGTACAACATAAACATGTACATTATTTTATAGAACAGCTAGAAAAACTGTATGGTGACTACATAGATCAAGATTAGATATCATGTGGAACAAGGCAACAAAAAATGTTGATGTACAGAAACCTAAGTAGTATCAGTGTCTAAAAAATTATGACAATACTGTTGTGAACAGTTTACAAACTAATCGTGTTAGTATTTGTGTGTCTGTGTGCGCACATGTTTTAAGCTCGAGTTCCATCAGCAAATCTAGTTGGCAACTGAAAAATAGTTATTATTTCATAAGCGCTAAAGGGTTATTACATATGATCATCCTCTGCTTATGGGGTCGTTTAAAGGGTGGGAATAAAGACAACATCATAGCAAATCAACCAACACTTGAATACTAGTCACATCAGTATCACAGAGAAGCACATTTTTATTCTGGCTTCTAAAAGTCTGCTCATAATTATTAGCATTCTAATTTCTCTGTGCCAGCAGTTTGGTAAGTGTACAAACTGAGACTACAGACTTATAGCTCTCTTATTTCTGCAGTACAGGTAGAAACACAATAAATATACCAGCTCTAAAAATGCTTCTTTGGAAGCAGGTTTCACTGACATTAGGATCAGAACATTTTTCTTCTTTTGGTACCTACCAAGTATAGAACACATTTTCCATTAAGTGTATTTGTTGTAGAAACACCTCGAGAGGCCTAGGTCTAGTTGCCTGGAAAGTTTTTGATATCAGTTTGTTTTATCACTGCTGCTGGTTGCATACGTAATGTATTGTTCAATGTCGTCAAATGCCATAGTAGGAATGATTACGTATGCTGCAGTGAAATACATGCTCATTTTATACAAAACAAGTGGCGAAGGAGTCTTCAAAACTTTTTAAATGTTTGGTTCAATTGGCAATTGTAAAATCACTAGACAAAATTACTATATTAATTTTGGTGATTTTTGTAAATTGTACAGTATCGTTTCACATCAAAAAGCACACTGAAAAAAGCAACAAGGTGAATAGGATAGGTTTTGACCACCTATGTACTTCCACTATTAAATGTTCTTCCCACCCTTTACAACAGTTGTCAGTTCCAGAAAGGGTGCCTATAATTTAAGCATTCACTGTCAATTATTATTACAGGCTGGAGCGCTCACACTTTTCTTTGCGGCACCTTCCTTTTCCTAGGAGAAGTTATCTTCTTCATTATAAAAGGAAATGCAGACACTGGCTTAAAAAATGTATGTTGTGGGGACAGTTGACAGATTACCCTTTGTGGAACTCGATTTCCTAACCTCAGGTATTTGCTGGTTTAAAGGCAACTAGAGTTGCTCAACCTTTTTTTGTCCTTGTACCTCCATACCCAGGTGACCATGTTCAAGCAAGCAGAAAGTTGATTTAAACCTCGTAATGACATCAGTTTTAAACCATCAGATCTCTCAGGGAAAAAAAGGAAAGAAAATGTGCTGTATCCTGACCTGCCCGAATTCTCTTTTTCCTGCCCTCACAGGACTCCAGAATCATAACAAAGGACATGGGAGAAAATAAATAGCTAAATAAAGAACTAATGATGAACCAGCCCCAGCTCCCTTTATTTGTGTTTATTAGATGGCTAGTGTTTATCCCCTTTCAAATATACTCTGGTCCTAATTTTATAGGATCTAACTGTTCTACTACACGGTGAAGCCTATCAATCAATGCAAAGGACTACTGAATTACCCATTGGTGTCTCTGATGTGCTGCTGCACAGATTACACTTCATGCATCACCACATTCATTTCCACCGCATGAGCGTGTCTTGTCACTGTCCGATTGCCCCCTTTTGGACAGCTTAACTGATGCACTACACAAGGAACCTCACAAAGCAAACTTGCTGGCACAGGAGTGGTAGGAAAACATGGGAAAAGTCCAGTGGGCAGTGATCTAAGACCAACGTGTGACGTTTCTTAATAATAAATGTTAAGGTGCACTTAACTCATGTAGTAATTTTTTTAAATACACAAAACACCACAGGGCTTCACGCTTCTGCCACAATTTCTCCTCAGTTCTATGAAAAAATATCAAGAAGCCTTTATACTGTCAAAAATACACCTGACATCAAGGAGATTTCTTAGTAACCTCACCTAAGAACAGCGCAGGATTGGTAAACAATGCCCAGTTGCGTCCCTTTCTTGATGTTGGTGTGCTCACCACCTTGGTCCATGCACTCGTAATCTCGAGATTAGACCACTGCAATGTGCTCTACGTGGGGCTACCTTGGAGATTAATGCGGAAACTCCTAATGGTGCAGAATGCAGGGGCCAGACTTCTTAGGGGCCTCACTTAGTGGAGTGAGGAAACATTAACATATTACTCCCACTCTGGCCGCATTGCATTGGCTGTTCATTTGATCCCGCATTGATTTCAAAGTTCTAATGATCGTATACAAAGCCCTAAACAGTTTAGGACCTTAATACTTGGTGGAACGCCTCCTCCCACCTAGATCTACTCGTATCACCCGATCTAGTCAGGAGGGGCGACTGGGGAGCCTAACGCAGAGGGAGGCCTGGAAAGAAAAAAACAAGACACCGGGCCTCTCGGCAGTGACTCCCAGGCTCTGGAACAAGCTCCCCCCCCCGAGATTCATTTGGCCCCCTCAATGGGCACTTTCAAAAACCAACTCAAGACCTGGGTATATAGACAAGCCTTCCCTCCGGGCACTACATAACTTTCTCTTTTTCTCTATCTTTATCTACAGTGGTGCCCCACACAATGAAGTTAATCCGTTCCGGATTAACCTTCGCTATGGGGAAACATCGGTAAACGGAATGGGGAAACCCATCGTTTAATGCGTTCCAAATGGGCACAAAACTCACCGTTCAGCGACGTTCCTCCATAGCTGCAGCCATTTTCGCGCCCTCGGTAAGCGAGGGCAGGGGGCGAAAAAGCTGCGTGTGGCCATTTTGGGTCGTCCAACGGCCATTTTGGAACCGCCGATCAGCTGTTCCCCCGACATCGCAATGCGAATATCAGTAACCGAAACACTTACCGATCTTCGCAATGCGAGTTTTGCCCATTGCGACCGTCGGTATGCCTTCGCATTAGCGATCCCAAAAAACGGATCGCTATGCAAATTCATCATTATACGATTTACTCGTTAAGCGAGGCACCACTGTACTTTGTTTTGTGTAAATGTTGTAAATTGTTATTTGATATTGTTTTTATTCTGCGTTCTGTGAGCCGTCCAGAGTAGACTATGTCTAAAGGGGTGGCATATAAGCTAAATAAATAAATAAATAAATAAATAAATAAATAAATAAATAATCTTAACATAAAGAGGGAATATTGTATAAAATGGAAAGGTTTTATTTTGACAGCTTTATTAGGGGTGGCTTTGGGCATGAGCACAGACCTGGTCCTCATAAGGTTGGTAGGTGTATCACCCATGTCAGACTTAGAATAACTATAGTGACCCACAGTGGGACTAGGATTGTACTCCATAGAACAATAAAGGCAGGTAGAAAGCTATTCATAAAGAGGGAATATTGTATAAAATGGAAAGGTTTTATTTTGACAGCTTTATTAGGGGTGGCTTTGGGCATGAGCACAGACCTGGTCCTCATAAGGTTGGTAGGTGTATCACCCATGTCAGACTTAGAATAACTATAGTGACCCACAGTGGGACTAGGATTGTACTCCATAGAACAATAAAGGCAGGTAGAAAGCTATTATGCCCTATCTCCTTCTTTCCATGTAGGCAGATGATAAAAGATACACTAATTCACATAAATGCAAAGCCGCATGTGCATGACAACTGCTCATAATTATACCTTCAGGTAGAACTAAGTAACAACATTTTATAAGCAACAACCACTGTTGCCATAACCTATGCTGATTTCTCTATTCTAATTTATTATTAAATACATTGGAGCAGACCTGGCAGAGTTGTAGTGTTCACCATGTACAAGGGGCTAGTGGTCAAAGTGAGGAGATGGCTCACTAAATGTAAGTTTCAAGATTATGTGCATAATTTGTTGTAGTTTTCCCTTCTCCTCCCTTGACCAATAGGAGCCATTACACTGAAATGACAACAAATCACTATTACAGTATTTCCATTTTAAACACAACTTGAGCACCGGTAGCATAAGCTTACTAGACTCTCTGATAAAAGCTGATTGAACGCCAGGACTGGAAGTAGTGGCAGAACCCTGGCTTCAATCTTACTGAAATTTGTTATATTCAAGACAACCAAACAAGTGGGAATTGAATGTGATGATAACTTTTGATTGGCCAATGTTTTAAGATTAATAGATCTTCCAAGTTAAACAGAATTGTTCATTTGTGTAGATTGGCTTTTTCCTACACCAATAGAAACAAATGAGGCTTAAAACAGCTGACTATTTTCTGAGATGATCAGTCACCAATCCCTTATGTAGACTTGATACATGCTTAAGGTATATTTCATTTGTGTAGATCGGCTTTTTCCTACACCAATGGAAACAAATGAGGCTTAAAAACAGCAGCTGACTATTTTCTGAGATGACCAGTCACCTGTACAAATAAAAATCCCCTATGTAGACTTGATACATGCTTAAGGTATAGAAATTCAGTTGTAGAAATTTCTAGTAAGCAAGTGGAATCCACATCTGATAATCTGAGAAGTTCATGTATGCATTAAGTAGAAATCGCAACACATCAAGAACTGCTGCTAATCAGCAGATATATTTCAAATGTTGGATTGGCTCATCAGACAATGGTTAAGCCTAAGGCTTTATTTCACAAAGCAGCAGCCCTCACCACATTGCACGTACCTTGAGCCAGAGGCTGCAATGGCAAGGTCGGCTGACCAGGCTGAATTGTTAGGAGACCCTGGCGTTGTAGAGAAAGGAGGTGCTGCTGTTGCAGTTGTTGCATCTGTAAAAGCTGCTGTTGAAAGGCCAACTGCTGTGAAGTCACCTGTTGCTGCTGTGGCTGTAAAATAAAGAGAAATAACACATTTATTTTAGCTTTATATACATTTCCCCCCTCTCTTGTCATCACCACTGTCAAAATATTTTTGGCCATTATTTGCTGAATTCTACAGAATCATAAACAGCAATTTTGATATCTGCCCTGGGGCATACTGTAGTTACGTGCCCCCTGCCAAGAAAGAGAAGGAAGAAGAGAATATGGACCACATTCAAAAGAAAGAAGGAGTTTATGCTTTCAAAAAATGGAAGGAAGTGCTGCTGTTTATTTTCCTAAAACTCATGAGTAGATTCACTTCTAGAGTTCACTGCCCCTGAAATGTTGGTACTCTGCGACAACACCTCAGCTGCTCTGTCCTCGTTACAGTCGTGGAATTCTGCACACCTTGTACTTTTCTAAACAAAGGAACAGATCTGATAGGGTCTATTTAAACATTTTTTCATTATATGTTTCCTTATGGTAACTTTCAAGGCAGCTTAGAATTCTGTGTAAAACTTTGATGAATTGTTACCAGACTGAAACAATGCAAAGAAACAGCACAGCAAATACTCATAAAATTGTTACAGCCAATTTGCTGTTATAACCCAAACAGTTACCACCCCAAATATGGTCTTGGGTGGGTGGCTAGGAGAAAGTAGTGATGCTAATGATGCTGGGTGAATTTGCCTGAGGAGGGAATTCCATAACTGGAGTAGCATCCCAGAATACAGGAACTGCAAAGAGCAAATACTGCAAGGGTTCCCTGCATGATTTGTGTTCTACTCATGTGAACAGTATGGCAGCATACCAGGGGTTCTAGAAATTCCTAATATTCTTGCCATTAAACATTTAGCTGGATGGGTTTCACAAGAGGTGGAACGCTACTGAAACAACATCAAAACTATTGTCTGGTTTTATAACTTTATTAATTCCAGAATCATGGCCAAATTCTACCTGTAAAGGCTTCCTTTTCTGGGAAATCTTAATAAAATATTGATATTTCATTTCACAGTCAAGCTACTGTGCTCTGCTATGCCATAAAGGATAAACAACAAGCATCTATTCAATAGATTATTGCACTTGTGCCCTCTTGAGACTTTATTACAAAATTGAAACAATTTTAATTTCCATATATCAAAATTCTGGTCCTCCTGGTTGTATAAAAACAGTTGAAGAATTAGGAATATGGAGACAAGTAAAATAAACTTCCCTATTGAACTAATTGTTTTTGAAATGTTGTATTTTCAGGTACTACCAACGGTACTACTACAGCACAAAAGCATTTCTAACAACTGCAATTTTTCATTAGTCAAGTTTGTTTAAGTGAAACTCAATTTACACTAACTCCCCCAACCCCCCCAAAAGCCAACCCAGCCCTTTTCAATGGTGACCATGTTTCCTGAACACTAGACTTCTCAAGCAGTTTTCTTCCATGTAGTTAAACATGGGGATGTCATTGCACTACAAGGAAAAATCCATGTGAAGTATGATGGGAAAGGCACATATGCCTAGTTCTCATATTTGAAGTGGACTGGACATATATTTCTGAAGCACCTGTTCCCTGCTGTATAGCAAAAAAAAATTCTTGTATTATACAATGTCAAGTTGCCTCTGACTCATGGTGACCCTATGAATGAGCACTCTCCAAAATGCCCCATCTTCAGCTGCCCTGCTCAGCTCTTACATACTCAAGTCCACGGCCTCTTTTATTGAGTCAGCCCATCTCATTTGGTCTTCCTCTTTTCCTGCTACTCAACAAGAAATAATGAAAAATCTCACTAAGGATCGCCAAAATGGTTGTTGCGGGTTTTTCGGGCTCTTTGGCCATGTTCTGAAGGTTGTTCTTCCTAACGTTTCGCCAGTCTCTGTGGCCGGCANNNNAGATGCCGGCCACAGAGACTGGCGAAACGTTAGGAAGAACAACTTTCAGAACACAGCCAAAGAACCCAAAAAACCCACACCAACCATTAGATCCCAGCCATGGAAGCCTTCGTAAATACATTGATTGCCAAAATGTTTTCTTTGAATCCTGGCAAAAGTCTAGGAGGGTGAGTGTATTTTTTCATTCTGACAAATCTGGTCTAATTTAAATAAGAAGTTAGGCATGTGAAAAAGTCTTGCCCATATGGCATCCCACTTCTTTCAACTCTGTATTAAACTGGAATTGCATGTACCTATGCCAGCTAGAGTTCAGATTTTGCAACTAATGCTGCATCAACAGAAAGTGCTTGGAGGGGTATTCTAATTGTGAAGAAAAATGCAATGATGGAATTCACTACTATTCCTATGGCTTATTCGTGGAAGCTCCTGCGGTCCAAAGTAACTGTCTTGCTTGTTTTATAGTAAAGTTTTTATAACTTTTGAGCTGAAAAGCCCATGTGCAAAAAGTAACATAGCACCATCATGTCATATACATTTAAATGTAATGAAAAAATAACTTTGCAGTATGTTATTTACTTATTTAAAAATTAGCTCAGCTATTAAAGCTCCAATTAGTTCGTTTATTGCATTTTCCAGAATGCTGCTTTCAGCCATAAGATCAATGCACAGTTCTCTCTTCTGCACTATTCCACTTTGAAAAAAATTAATTATTCACCCTCGGAAGAAGACTAAGTTGCTATAGTCCACCGGGAACTGAACCTTGAACCTCTAAGGTGTAAAAGAACATGTTGCTTTTTTCACTGCTACATCCAGAGAAGCTTTTAACTACTCTGTTTATCACTTCTGACATAAATAAATGAGGAAAAAAACAGACCTTTGAAGAAGAAAAACTTCATCTAATATTGTTAATTAGCCATGACAAATGATGAAATAACATTGTAAATCTTTCACAGAAACAGCCACTAGATTTTAATTACGCACATTCATAATTTAGCAAACAACATCTTATTTGAATGTGCTTAATATGTACCATACTTGAAGCTTTGGAGTTCTGAAATTTGTTTCACTTAAAGAAAACCTTTAGGCGCTCCTCATCTTGCATTTTATTTGTTCTTGTTCTTTAAGAAATCATGAAAAAGGTTTTGTAGTTTTGATCTGTGTCTTTTTATATACTGTGTGATAACAGGAGAAAAACTTTAGTTGCGTAAAATATCAGTGCATCAGGCCACCATTTAGCAATTCCTTAAGCTAGCCAAGAAAAAAAAGTTATTGTAGATTTCCTTAGTAATTATCTCAGTGATAGAAAGATAATACAGTGCACCAGTACAATAAATAGAAGGAAATTATCTAATATCCCTAATCTGCTAGGAATCACATCAAGGTGGAGGTCTTCCACGGTTTTGTAGCTAACGTTGGCAGAAAGAAAATTAACCCTTGACAGAGAGCAACGTATATAACCCACTAGAGAGTGGAGAAGAAAAAATCTCTCGGCATTGTGAGTGACTACATGCGAGGTTTATATATTTGAATTTTAAAACATGTTCTCCTAAAAACAGCTAGTTGTGTGATTAACTATTTATTCAAAAGAGACAAAGTACAAAAAAACCTGTCACACAAATATTCTCTCTCATCAAGTGGAAAAAACAACCAAATGAACCAGAACAAATCTTGCAGTTATGGAGGGATGGGGGTGGGTGGGAAGGAGGGAAGGAAGGAAGGAGAACAAGGAAAGTAATACTTCTTAATGCAACCTCTTCAGCCAACAGCTTCCACATAACATTTGCCTACAATCTGCAAGGAATTTTGGTTCACTGCATCTGAGAGAGCAGGAAAAAAGAAAAAGGGAAAAAAAGCAGCAAGTCTCAGAACAGTACTGAAAAATAACAAGAAATGTGAAAGAAAGTTCCTCTGCATTTAGTACTGCACTGCCTCTTTTTCCACCTCCCATTGACACTCCATCAAAGTGAATGGGCATTACCCAAGAATTTAACACTATTACAGTACTCAGAATCCACATAAATGATGGCCAGGGCGCAGGAAGATGGAGGAGTACAGACTTTTTCCTTCTATTAGTGTACAATTCACTGACAGAATATTATGTTTAAAAAGCTGAATTGAGAATCAGGTCAGAAATATGTATACTGAATAACTAGTGGGCTGAAAAATGGTAGAAATTTTATTTTCTCCAGAGTAATAGGCAAGTCTAGGTCAAGGGCCATAGTAAGTATATATAATACAAAAAGTGTCTTACGTCATACATGATGAATACGTTACAGTGTTTGGCTAATTACACATTGCTGTTGTTTAGTCGTTAAGTCGTGTCCTACTCTTCGTGATCCCATGGACCAGAGCACACCAGGCCCTCCTGTCTTCCACTGCCTCCGGGAGTTTGGTCAAAATTCCACATAAGAAGCATTAACATATAAGCAAACTCTCAAATGCAGCTGACAATGTTAATGATCTGTTTAACGGGATGGACAATTTGTGGGGGGAATGGCATACAGTCTTCATCTGTTTTCCCCAAATGTATCTGGTCAATCCCAACAATGGCAGGGTACATGTTCTGGTCACAATGGGGAGCTGAGGTGGGTTGTTGGAGAAAGGGAGAGTCAAACATACTTGCTGTGATGCTTCCATAAATTTCTCAAGAGATATTCAGCTTATTTGATTTTGGTGTTAGTGAGCAGACCAGCTTACAATAATGTCAAAAGTACACTGACAATGGTGGACCCAATTTCAACCTGTGTTTTTGTGTGGTCATGGCAAAGCTGACCAGTCCCAGGGCACCCCCAGAAGAAGAGAAGGTAAGCCACTTCTGAGTATTTTGTGCCTGCAAAACCCTGAAAAGGGTTACGATAAGTCAGAACTGACTTGATGGCACATGATTACATATTATTTGCTCCACTCCAAGTCCATTTATACCAGACCATTTTACCATGCTTAAAATGCATATATGCCATCATCTTTAACACATCTCTGAAAAATAGTTGCATCTACTCACATAGAATTGATACTGCCTCAAATCATTTATATAAAAGCATGTTTCGCGGCAGCCTTTATGGTGGTTTTAAGTGCACAGAAATTAGCCATCTAAGTTGCAGAATATTTTTAAATTGCAGAAAACACAATGCAGATAAAGTAATTAAAACTGCATCTATTTTATCTTAAGTCAATACGTCTTAGGACCTACTTACCTAAGCATACGTCTCACAGAACTCAATGGAACTTACTTCCCAGTGAATGTGTAACAGAGTTCAGAGCAAACGGCTCACATAAATGGGATCTGGAAATAAGCCTCTCACCAATATCATACTTTTAACCAATTTCAGGCCCTTTACATTACCCACTGAGAAAGTAAGTGTTTTTCTGCCTAACAAACCTCTAACTACTGCCAAAACCACAAACATGTAGATAAGCTTCAGAGTTAGTAAGGCTATTTCAGTTCTAAACCAGCATGTCCCAAATTATCCAATTCTTCCTGCTTTTTCTCCGAAGTAATTGGGTTAATATAAATCACCAAGATAGTTAATCCAGTGTTTAATAATTTGTTCAACCTCTCAGATATTTATCCTTGTGAAAAATTCATGCTGTAAAAGGAAAGTAAGAGAACACACCCTGTTTTGGACATGCCAGTGACTTGCTACTTCAGTCAAGTTAATATTTTAAAACCAGCTTTATTTATGTAAGTTGACTGATGCCCATTCTGTTGTCTTCACAGCTATCCTCCAGGAAAAGCTCATGAAAGCTCTTTCTCCATTTAAAAAGCCAGGATAAAAAAGTATACAAGCCCATTGTCCAAGAAAGAACTTAAAAGCAATGCCCGTTGCCAAACTATGCTCCCCACCCAGTTACCAAACACAGGATACAAGGCAGTTTGTTTACTTCTCACAATTGAACGCATACAAAAAAGGTCTCGGTGCAGTCCTGTTGTCAGGTCAGTAGTCAGCTGTTAAAATGCTGAAATATCCTGATAAAACTTGCATTTTTGATCCCCTCCCTAAAGCTGCTGTCAAAGGTCTGTTTTCCTTTCTTGGGATACTCCCTACTGCCTCACATAAATTGTCATAACTACTGAAGGACAAACAGCTTTTAATCAAAACAATCTACTTAGCTGGACAAAGGAAAGAAAGAAGGGGGGTGGGGGATATTTTTTACCTTTACTCAGAATCTTTTCAACCATCTTTTCCCCTGGTCTATTTAATAAACTCAACCAAACAGGTTTTTTTTTTAAAAAAATAAAAATAAAATAAAATCAAAACACAAATAGAGAACAGCACCTAGTCGGTTACAGACTTGAGATCTGGCCTTAACAAATGGAAACACCGTAATAAACATGTTCTCCACCCTGCAATAAAATTCCCCTTAATATTCCTTACAAGAAATAAGGCTCTTTAAAAAGTACCATATTACAGTGTGCTGGCTGGAGAGTGAAGCTCACTTGCTTACAGGTTTTAGATGTGCTTTTAGACGATGGCAGAGCACCGCCAAGTCAACTACCAACGAGGGAAGATGCAGTAAATTAACTGATAGCCTTTAGTTCAAAACATGCTAGAGATATAACTAACATTTCATATGAAAGAACTACCACTGTGCAGTTATTTATCATTGAGCACTTACAGCTACGTGCATGGCATACACGTGAATGTTCACGTACACATGAAAAGATCACCAGCTGCATACTAATTTAACAAGAATAACCATCTTTAATTTAAGAGGATGGCTCGGAAAATAGGTGGGATTAACTGCTTTGTTTAAAGTTGCCTCCTACTAAAACAACCTGGTTGTTTAAAAAAGGAAAGGAAAGGAAAAACAAGCAGCATTTAAAAGCAAAGGGTGTTTGGCTTGCCCTTCCCTGCTTTACATCTACCATGTTATAATCTTTCCATTAAACAGGAACAAATCCTTTCGTACTGTAACTTTAGATACTGCAACATCAGATGCACGGCTACAGTGAATCAGTTCTGCTAGATGCTGAAATGCCATCACATTGTCCGACTTCCCTTCTTGCCTTTTTTAAAACACACAAAGTATTTTTCCTCCTTCTCTGAGCCATCATCTTTGTGTCAAAAACGCTCTCCCGTCTGACAACAGCAATTTAGAAGAGTTAACTTTTATCATTCATTCTGCTGTGTAACTTTCCCCTTCAAATTTCTTTATCTGCCCTCTGAGCTCATCTGAACTTTCATGTTCTCCCAGCATGCAGGCTTGCATTCAAAACTATGTCTAATAGACCAAATAAGAGGTTAATAAGAAGTGGCAACAGAAAGAAAAAAAATACAATCCCTGGTAACTGATAAGAATGACAGTGGCAGCCCTTTATTGTTTGTCTTCAAATATAGAGTTAAAGATCTTTAAAAAACTAAAATTTGACGCCTTTGAAAAGAAAGAAGCACAAAATAACAACAGGGGGTTATTGCCTGGCAGCCACAGGGGAGAAGCTCCATAATTCTTATTCTCCCTTTTGAAGGTTGCTAGAAATCTGATTCAAAAAAGCAACAGCAGAAGGAGAAAGCCTCTTGAGGCTATAGCCATTTCCTGTGATCATGCATAATGTGCTTCAAAAGTGGGTTTTTACCAATTCTGTTGATCAATTGCACCTCCTTCATATTCCTTCTTTTTTTTTCTGCTGTGTTTACATCTGATGCGACTCAATGACAAGCACTGTCTGAAACTGTGAAACAGACCTGTCATGTTGATTTATGGGCGCATCAAACCACAACTTGTCCAAACTGAAGCTCGCAGTTCATTAATTAGAGAGTTGTGACTTTGAAGTCAGCTTTCAGACTGTGGTTTTTAACATTTGGCTTAATTTATATGCTCTTGAATGTGGATCTCTAAGGGAAAAACTGAAATTCCCTTCTTGTCTTTGAACTTCTTTTGACCGCACAATAATCATTTCTTTGTCCAGAGTGATGCCTGCATCCCAGAGTCATTAACGCGCATTGAACTGCCACTGATGAGTAAGCCCTACTGAATTAGAAAAACAGCCAGCAAAACAAAGCTGAGAGCATTCTGCACTGTGATATCTCACAATTACATGCCTTCCCTCCCTGTGCCATTTCCATTTTAATTACTGTTAGTCCTTTAGATTTACATTTTAGACATTTTTTAATCTGTTCCCTTTTTTATTATAGTGCTGCCCGTTAGCGGGCTATAGTTAAGGTTCATGTCAGCATTTCCCATTATAAACCCCCCCCAATTTTCATAACTCAGCTGTAAAAATTCACACTTGACTAAAAACTTGGTTTTCCACAATAGAAAGGAGATGGGATGTTCATAGCAAACAAGAAATTGTTTGGGCCAGTTTGGGAATTTATGGCTAAATTCCCAACTACTATACTGGGACAGGACCACAGAAACCTCACATAAAAACCCCCTTAAGGTCAAGATGTTTTCCCTCCATCTCTTCTAATAGATTATGTGCTCTTCAGAGTAATACTCTTAAATTACTCCAAAGGTACCTGTACAAAGGTATTGTAGAATTTACAAAGTGATTTGCAACAAAGAGCAGATTGTTGTAGCAAACAGCAAACACAGCCAAATTGTCCAATATGGTCACTGTAACTAATTTATACAGAAAGAAATAGACTTCATTGCAACCAATACAAGTTTTGCAATTCCATATAAATACAAAATGACCAACGGTCATTTAAAAGTTAATGCTTTTATACTAGATTTTGCTTATAAAGAATGTTGATCAGAATTCCATCAGGGATCTACACATGTGTAAAAGATAGTATGTAATTTCGGGTGGTAAATTGCAGCTAATTAAATACAATGATTGCATGCCTAGGCATGCACTTCACTGTACAGAAGATTCTGGTGCATATTAGAGACTACATAGTTCAGGAAGTGAACTGGCTGATCCTATTTTGGACGGCTGTTGCTCTGCATAAACAAGAGTGTTTCCTAGATCTCTCTCACATACAAACAGACACATAGCAGATACCCTGCAGGAAGCACACTACAGCAGATAACGGGTAATGGCAAGCCCTACCATCGCAATGGTGATCTTCCACTTGTGAAGCTCCTAATGAGCTTCTAGAGAACAACAGCAAACCTTGGGAGTTCTCTTTGGACACCGTTGTTCTAGTAGCACACAGAGCTGTTATGCTCTGTGAACACAGCAGAGAGATGCTATAAATGCTGGAGTCTTTCTCAGTGAATGTGCCTTCAGAGCTATGCACTTTTGTCCCAGTTATTAAAATCAGTCTTAAAGCTAGAAGTTTCTCTTATTGCTGGGAATGGCTATGTACATTTCTATACAAACAGCAAGTCGGGGCAGACAGAGTACATTCAAGAGGCTTGCACTTCTTCTCCCTATAGTGACTTAAAATGTCCAAGAAAAGGCAATTCTCAAAGTTTTGCTTCCTCTATGTTAGAATTTTGATAAAATCTGGTTAAAAAAACTTATTCATCCCTACCCAGAGGGGGACAGATAAGCTATCTTTGTACCCAAAATCAAAAATTCTAGACAGGCAAAGGAAACAGAAGCATGATGCAGGCATTTATGTTTTCTCAATTTGGTCAAATGTCCAAAACCCATGCAGAGACACATTGCCAACCTGGCAAACCATTGTATGAAGAGTATCCTTCAGCTATCATGCAGCTGCACCCAAATCCTTGAATCAGTGCAGCGCTCATGCCGTAATCCAAGCTGCATACATGTCGCCTAGTTTTGCTTGTTTCTAAAGCTGGAACCCATCAATCAGACATTTGGCAGAGAAGGGGAGACTGAATCCTGCTCCCAAACTGAAAAATTCCAGCTTGCTTTAACAGGTACAAGTGCTGTCAGATGCTATACTGGGGACATAAATGCGCAGGACTAGTTTCTCATGCTAATTGTCCATCCAGTAATAGAAATGTATGTGTGGGACGGTGAGCCTAGGCAAATGTGTGCATTAAATGCATTACCCCCTTCTCATCTCATACTGTGTTTTGAACACACAAGTTATTGGACAGTAGAATTTTTCAAGTTGCAACTTGTGGCCATCAGTATATTTTCTGTCAAGATCTATGCTTCAATAGTACAAATGAGTTTTAACTCTACCTCTTTAGGCTGTTTTCCAGCATGTTGTTGCTGTAAAAGTTGGAGCTGCAACTGTTCCTGTTGTTTCTTATAAAATTCTTGAAGCTGCTGCTATAAAAGAAAAGAGAGAGAGAGAAATAGAGAGAGAGAGAAACAGAGAGATTGTTAAGTAAAACAAAGTGGGAGAGCCAGTTCAGTGTCCCCTTTTGGTGTAATACACAAACTGTGATTTGAAAAATAGCATCCTTTTATCTGTAATGCTCTGACCTTTAGTTTGAAACTCAACAATAAATTCAGTACACACTGACTATTCTTGGCATTATCGTTTGAAAAGTAATCTCCAAAATGAACTGATGAAAAACATACCATCTTCTACACAAACTAATTAAAAGAAGGGAAGGGATGACCTTTGATTGGAACAACAAAGCCACAATGCCCTTGCTAGAAGAGTCTGGTGAATCTTATATTGGGAAGGTATACATGCTTTCTAAATCATTGTGGTACTGTGGTGCACTAAGCACTGCGTGGCACAGGCGCAAGTGCCCCACACCCACCCACCTCTCAGGCAGACAGTTTATTCGAGACTTCCATTCAGTGAATGAAAAAGTGAATGACTGGCCAACTGCAAGGCACAGCATACAAGGTCAGTTTGCAAGAGACTTGTGCATTGCTATGCATCTAAATATTTCATCCTGCATATCCTTCACTGGGATATGCAAATCCCAAAGCCAATGTTGTGTTTTGTACATCCGCAGTATAACTGCATTGCAATCTTTAAAAATCTAACGTATATTTCACATTTGAAGGCTTCAGTTGACCTCTTCTGAAATGTATTGTGCAGCTACACAAATAACGTAACTTTTAGAGGTGGACTATGATAAGTTAATAAATCTTCATAGACCTGATCTATTACATGATAAGTAGTGCAACAGATAATGATTGTCAAGATTTGTTAACTTATGGCAATTTGACTCCAAAATTATTCCATCCATGTAACTATGCAATAGGATTTCAGCTGTTAGTCACAAAAATGTTACCCATTTGATTACCTGCAGACCTGCTCTGAGCCAGTAACTGCACGGAAATAATTCTTCCAAGGTAAAATGCAAAGGATTTTAAAACGACCTCTTACTAAACTAGCTGAAAATAATGCACATGGTCGGCCCATTTTAGAGCAATTCCATGGCACATGTTGAGACACAGAACAAGCTACAAAGATAAGTGGATTTGAGTGTCTCGTTGCATCTTCTGCCAAGTATTACATCACAGAGACTCCCTAAATGTACCACAGCCCTTGTTTGTCTATTACCAGCACTTTCTTATGTACTTCACAAAGTGGAACAACAAAACAACAACAAAAAACCACCTTGTTTTTCGTTTACTGTAATTACACATGGCTTCTTCTTCTGAATATAGGTGAATGCCAATTCTTCAAATTAAAATCAAAGTTTTGCAAAGTTTTACTAGATGCTTCAGAACTACAGTCTCTGTTACAGCCCATTCTCAAAGCTTTTATGATTTCCTTCATGGAAATACTTAGGGAAGATTTGAATCTTCAGTACCCTTTACAGTGGTGCCCCACTTGACGATTGCATCATTAAACGAGGAAATTGCTTAACGATGAGTATCGCAAAATGATGTTTGTATGGGTTTTTTTGAGGAAATTGCTTAACGATGAATATCGCGAAATGATGTTTGTATGGGTTTTTTTGTTTAATGATCAGTTCCCTGCTTCGGGAACCGATTTTTCGCTTAACGATGATCAAAACAGCTGACCATCGGCTTTTCAAAATGGCTCCCCGCTGTGTTTTAGGACGGATTCCTCACTATACAGGCACTGGAAAATGGCCACCCTATGGAGAATATTCGCTGAACGCTGAGATATTTCGCCCATCTGAACACATTGAACTGGTTTTCAATGCATTATTCGCTGGACACTGAGGTATTTCGCCCATCGGAACACACTGAACTGGTTTTCAATGCATTTCAGTGGGTTTTTACTTTCGCTTGACAATGATTTCGTTCTACAGAGATTTTGCTGGAACAGATTATCCTTGTCAAGTGAGGCCCCACTATATATTTTTGAGTGCAGTGAGTAAAATAGTTTGCTTATAAACTATGTGTATCGTAAAGCCTATAGAGTGCTACTACAAACAATTGAGAATGCAGTGAGTAAAATGGTTTGCTTATAAACTATGTGTATGGTAAAGCCTATAGAGTGCTACTACAAACAAACATAGAGGACACTACTGATATTCTTATTCTTTTTCTTAGAAAGAAGAACGTCTTTGGTGAATTGTAGGCAAAATAATGTCCACATTGCCTAATAGACACAGGTGTTCTCCCACAGAAGAAAATCATTACATCAGAATCAGCACTAACAGTTTATTCTTGTTACAGCACTGCTAGCGATGCCTTATGTGCTGCAATACGAATGAGTTACCTGTTGAAGCATGAGTGCCTGCTGCTGCTGAAGCAGGACCTGAAGCTGCTGTGGGGTTAGCACTTGCTGCTGGAGGATCTGCTGCATTTGCTGGGGAGTGATAACTTGAGGTGTCATCATAGCCACTGAGACTGGAACCTAAAGCATTGAGAAAGTGTAAACAGCAAGCATCTCAACATGACTTTTGCCAAGTGGCTGAGCATTTCAAACAAAAGGTATTAAGCATCTGTCTTCTCACAGTGGACATTAAAAATAATTCCCTTAGTTAACTAAAGTGACTGCAAATGCTTCCTCCTCACCATTTGCTTTGAAGTATAATCAGGGTGCTGAGAAGTAATCTCCTCTTACATCGTTCACAGGAATAAGAAACATGAATTGATCGTGCCTTTTGCATATCTTTCTTCCTAGCCAACCCAAACAGATTTTACAATGAGAATGATTTCTGAGAAAATTAAACCATCCATTTGCCAACTTTTTAGAGGGAGCTACCCGTTCTAACAATTCTTACATTAATTAATTAGGCAGACCCTTCAAAAGCAACCGCTGGGGAGTTTGAACTTTAAAAAGATTTGAAGCAAACAGAGGCAATTTCAGTGATCTCAAAAGCAGTGCCTTGTTCCCCAGCTATTTTAGCAGCGGAGTTCCTACAATGATGTCTCTACCATTCCACATTCACCCAGCATACAGATGGCTTCAATTCTTTCGTATTATGTGAGATACCATTAAAAGCCGCTTTCCATGACATTTCAGTGACAAACAGCTACAGTGATGAACTTGATAGCATTTCATATTTGCAACTGTTAACACGTTTCTGCACGGGCATCTTTGCAAGGAACCTGTACACTGTATCTGAAAGGATGATGTCTTGTTCAGATAAAACACTGACATTAAAATGACAGGCTGTCTTGGCCAAGGTTACACAAATTGTATTCAAGCGGATACCTAATGACAATGCTTTGAATTCTGCAAGCTTTCTAGAATGTAATTTAGCTATTCAAAATAATCACTGCACTTGTGTTTAATTTGCAGACTACATGAGAACCATTTTGTCAGTTCCGGTAATGCAACAAGACTATTTCGTTAGAAGCCCCAGCAGAAAGACAGAGAAGAAGGGGAAAGGAAGGAGGGGGATTACAATGGAGTGGGGGAAGAAGCAAAACTCACATGACTTTGAATAGTAATATTTAAGCATCACATTTTCCTTTAGTTTCAGCTCAAATAAGTGACAGCAGAAAACTAAAAGCAGTAAAAGGATATACGTGGTTTTAAAAAAAAGATCTGCTGTCATGTCATGCAATACAATAAAAGATAATAACATGTTTTGAACATTTATATGCATCGCATTTTAAAAAATCAGTAGACAATAACTGATCAGGAGACAAAGGGGGTTTAAAAATATTTCAGGGACATAAGCAAGAAAGAGATGCAGTATTAATTTTTGTGTAACATAATGTCTTAATACGCAGTTTATCTTGACTTTTTCACATGATTTGTCTTGTCATTTGCATAGCAAATTCTCATTCCTAATTTCACAGTCATTATGCATTGATGTCCTGATTTCTCAGCACCACTAATTTTGATGAACTAAAAATGGTTCCTGAAGGTCAGATTCATATATAGTGAACACCTTCCAGTGTTGTTACGTACAGTTATCCGAGTATGCCAGAGATGATTCTCAAGACAACTGTTTGAAAGAATGCAGAGAAACTCTTCCACACCTCTGACCCTTCTTACTGTAATACTAGAAATCAAGACCAAGGGCTGGCTCCCAAACCCACTGCCGTTATGAATTTGGACTATTCTGACATACAGCACAATGCAAAGGGACCTACAGCCAAGTACATGCCTCCTAGCAAATAACAGCATGACACAAGATATGTAAAAGCAGTGTCAGAATTGCAATATTGATCTGAATTCATCTCAGAGTAAAGATTTAATAAATACCAGCTCCTCTCTCATGCATACTTCCTGACAATTGTTATTTATATTGTGCTTGCATTACCAACTACTATAGATCCAGCTACGCCTCCTCCAAGTTTCCTTGCGCAATTGTTTCATAGAATTACAGCTGTAATTGACTAGCTAAAACACAGTTCCCTGGAGGTTGACAGCAAACATACATTGCTGGGAGCAAGCCCCAAGTCTGTAAGTAAACAGGAGCTGCAATTCTTAAGATATAGATAACACTGACCTTAAAAATTATCTTTTTGCTGAATAATAGAAAAAGGATTCTTCTAAAAAAACCCCTGTAAACTTACAGAGGTAGCAGTAATGTAAGAGAACAATTAAAGCACATGTTCAGTGATGAAAACTATACCTTTAATTCCAGTTTTGTACAGGGTAGATTCAGACAACCAAGCTGGCGGTAGTCAAAATGTCAGTGTGTGGTGAGAAAGTGATGTCTGATCACATGCTCAAACACCACACATCTGATTTTGCAAACAAATACAAAGAGGTGCAGTAACTGTGAACCATCACAGGGGCAGTCAGTATGGACTACCACCACCCTATGGAATGAAGAGAACGGTGGCAACAAGTTTTAAGTAGATAACACTGGCTTATGTTTGTCGGAATCTATCCACAGTAAACCAGCCCTCGGCATTCTCACTGATTAAGAACTGTCTACTATTCCTTAGGATTACGTTGCCATTTATCAGGCATGGCTTCAGATGATCTAAAAGCAAGTATGTTTTATGGTATCAATGTGAATATTCACTAATGTACAACACAGGAGTATTCTAATTTCATTTGATTCAGCATCCATGCATGGGAATTATTGCTCCCACTTTGGTTAAGAGACAAAAATGAAGCACCAGCAGCAAAAATCGTGGGAATCTGGAGTGGAGAACTGCCATGTGTAGAGAAAGGACGAAACTGCTTAATCATTTACTTTCCTTCAGTTTATCTCTTGCAAATTGCATGATCCCTCTGCTTTCCAAATTCCGAGATTAAAAAGGGCTATTTCTTTGTGGAGAAAACTACCTCTGCATGTGGACATGTATCATGAGAACTGGAAAGTAGCAAGGAACTCTGCTTTCCACAGGAATCCACTGGGGAGGGGGCTTGCCCCTGGGGAAATCTTTTGTTTCTTTATATCTACAAACAGATACAGTGTTTTGCAGCAACATGAGTCCTGTATGTAAATTATGCTGCCCAGCCACCCTCGGGGCTATGGACAATATATTTCCTGTATTTCCCACTGGACTACAAAGTAAAACAAAGTTTAAAGCAAAGGCAAACATGCTAAGAGAAGGAACTCTTCACAGCTCACATATCTTTTGACTCCAGGACACTGACCCCCAAAGGGCAAAGATACCAGAAGATCTATACATTGGTGTAAAAACCTATAGCTATGTTCTCCCCTGTGTGTGGTAGGCTACTGTGGCACCCCGGCTAAGAAAATCAGCTGCACACCCAAGGAAGCACCTGTTTTGTATTTTCTTCCTGCCATATCTTAGGAAAGCAGTAGAAACAAATCCTTGACTGGAAATGGTAAGAGTTCTTGCCATCATCAAGCTCCTGCTGAAGCTCAGCTCCTCTGAATCTCCTTCCCTTCCTCTGCCACTCTAGCCCTGTCATGAAGGAGGATGAAGTGACCCACTTCAAGATGCATGACTGGGAAGAGTCAGATGAAGACAGGAACTAATGTCCAAACTGCAGGAAGACTTTGTAGACTAATGGCTCTACAATGGGGTGGGGGGGAGAGATGGATTGGAGAGTGGCGGGCACCCCGAGCTTGCTTGAATAGCCAAATGGATTGAGCCAGCACTCATTTGCTCCGCTCCTCTTGTGGCTACTGCTTGTCCACCCTCCCTTCCAAATATGAAACCTGCACACAACATCATGAGCAGACAGAGGGTCAATACAGATTTTACTTCACGAGAAAGCAAAAACCTGGTGAAGTTTTATACATATACATACAAACAGACCTAAAACCACTGTGTCATGGGTTTGCACTTGTAACAGGCTGAGATGATGAACTGTGGAACACACAAGCAATTTCTTAATTTCTGTCATCCAGTTTCTTCATGTAACTAGTCCCTAGTAACGCTAGGATTCAAAAGGCATGCAGCGGCAGTGATAGGCTGTTATGGCCTACACTTTATTACCCATTACTATCGAGGTCATTAGCAGCAAGAGTGATTGTACCGGTCTTAACCTATTGATCATTGTAACTACTATCATTTAATCCTGTGTTGAATGTCTGGAAAACTGCTAAAGGCACACAAGAGAGAGTGCTCTAGCACTGAGAAATATAGCTAAAGCTTAGAAATTACACATTGATTCATAAAAACTAGCCACTGGTTTAAATCAATAGTATTTAAAACAGTCATGTAAGTTCTTAACTATCGTCGGTAATATTTATGGGTCCCCGTTTGAGTGCACTCCGTCAAAACTGTAGTTATTTTAGATACCCTGCAGTATACCACCCATTACATCAAAATGAAGTAAGAAACTTCTGTCTGCTCTTGATCTTTGGCGTGACAGAGCTTCGGTTCTAGATGGCTAAAAAACGTACTGCTTTATGATACTAGCAATGAATCCTTAAAAACAACAAGACAATACTTTAAATGAGACCTACTTCTAAAAAGAAAGAAAAAAATTCTCATGGATTTGCAACAGGCAAAACAGACCAATTCACAAAACATATACAGTGATAAACCTTAACTGAAAATGTCTCAAACATATCAGACACTATTTCATAAATACACAAAATAGATCTTGCTCACTGACCTCAGGAAAATACAAACAGAGCAATGATGTAGACCAATAACTTTACCATTTACTTGGAAGTACACATCACTGAAGTCAGTGGGATTTACTTCCAAGTAAACTTGCATAGCACTCTCCTATCAGTTCCTAAACAGATCTATGAAACAACCGCAATTCACTGTCCTGTTTTAATTTTAAAGCACTAATGGTTTCGATGATGTATTTAATAAACTACATGCAACCCTGCTGACAAACATTCACAGGGTGTGGTAGGTACCCAGCTGCATTTAGAGCTGGCAGTGAATGAAAAATACAGCTGCTGCTTTGCTTTTAGAATTCTACCAGTAGAGAGACCTGCTGGCATTCTAATAGCATCAACAGCAAAAGTGCCTTTAAATGCAAACAAGTAGTTCCAAGCCTATTTC